AGTCGAGTAGTGCTCATCTGTGAACAACAGATCTGAACCCTGTCCTGTCCTGTGTCAGCCTCTCAATCTCTGACACAGTGGAGCCCATTGCTGCAGTCACTGTGTCAATTCAGCAGGCTGATGGTCTTCCTCGCCTCCCTCATGTCTCCACCTTTCCAAGCGTAGCCAGAGAAGAGCCCCTCCTAGCAACACGTCCAAAGTATGTGAGACAGAGCTGTATCATCCTTGCCTCCAAGGAGCACTTTGGCTAGACTTTCTCCAAGATACATCTAAGTGTTTGCTATATGCCAGTTTCTGTCCTAAAAACAATACACAGTACAGTTAATCTTATCACAACCCTATAAGGCAGGTACCTTTGTTTTCCCTCTTAATCAGGACAGAGAGAGAGAGAGATGAAATAACTCCGTCACAATTACCTAGCTGGTAAGGGCTAGAGACAGGGTTCAAGCTCTTAGCACTGTGACTCTGAAGTCTGTATTTTTTTTTAAATTTTATTATTTTTGTATGTACCGTCAAATCAGATCTGACTAGTACAGGAGGAGATTGTCCCTCCCTCTCCAGCAGAGCATCTGGTGGATTCGAACCACTCGCCTCTGGGATTGCAGTGCAGCCTCCCGCCACTAGGCCACTAGAGCTTGCCAAGTTTGTATTTTTCATTACTTACCAGTTTCTTGGTGCCAAGCACTATCTTCCTTTTTTAAAGAAAAAAATAGGTGCACACTTTGTCTGAGTCATTTCTCTCATTGGCACCATTTCTCAGGTGAGGCAACCAAATGTGTAAGAGGAGATAGCATTTTCTCAGAGTTAGTAGGTGATAGACGAACACTTTTGGGAAGGGATCCCAAGTCTCTGGTTGTCGACATAGCACTTGCGCCCTTAAAAGCTCAGCTGTGTTTTATTTGCCATTCATCTTTTTTTTTAACATTTTGTTCAGTTCCTTTTTATTCATTCTAAATCGAGACTACATTTTTCTTGTTATTTTACACGAAATTAATCATATACCTTGCTCTTTCACTGGATTTTTTTTCTTTCTCTTGAAAGTTCTGTATGTTATTTTTGCATGCCCCTACTGAGCCAACCATTCATCTCACAGTTACTGAGATCGGCTACATGCCAAGGCAGTTCTAAAAAGAAGTCCTTGCCATTGAGTTAGAACCCACTCAGCTGGGCCTCCTTTGTGTGTCCAATTGCACAGAAGCAGTTTGTCCTTCTTTTTCCCCAAGGAGTCCTCAGTGGATTTGAACTGCCGGAGAGATGCTGCCTTTGAATTACCATGCAACTACCCTCCTACAGACTAGGACTCCAGAGCTCCCTAAGACTGAGCTCAGACTGCCGATGTAGCTGTGGATGACACAGAGCAGGGTCTCCCTCAAGAGAGCTCATGTTTTCAGCATAGGGAAAGACACAAGGAACCTTTTTTTTAAAAAAAAAAAAAACCAACATAAGAATAGAGTGAAGGCACACACCCATGTCTCTTGCGGCTCTGTTCGCAATAGCAAAGAGCTGGAAATAATCCAAGTGCCCATCAACAAACGAATGGATAGAGAAGCTCTGGCATATCCACACTATGGAATACTATACAGCACTGAAAAACAAGGAACTCATGCAATATTTTGCAAAGTGGATGACCCTGGAGGACATTATGCTGAGTGAAATATCTCAGTCACAAAAGGATAAATATTGTATAGGACCACTATTGTAAAACAGGACTGATGTCAGGGTTAAGGGAAGACAAAGAAGGAGGGGATAGATGATGTATACTGCATTGAAACCGATGAGGGAGAGAACTGTTTAAAAGGTTATCTATGATTGGGTATTACTGTCATGACAGGAGTCCAGAATGAAGGCTGCACAGTGGAGTGGACTTGAGGGGAGGGATTGCATAACAATGAAAGAGTGTTTCTTAAATTTTTCAAGAAGAAGAGTGCTTTGGGCTGGCAAGGAGAAAAGTTTAACAGTGAATGACTGGAAACGCTAAGTCTCTGTAAACTTTCATTAAAAGGAATTTTAAAAAAAAATAGAGTGAAGGCAGGAGTCACAGAATTGAGGGGAACCCTCTTTATAGTCGGGAGTTAAAGAGAGCTCTCTGAGAAAATGCCATTTAAGCTGAGACCTGAAGGACGAGGAAGAGTCAGGCAGAAGGAGGAACACACGCACAGGCCTTGGGATGTGGAAATAAGCTTAGTGAGTTGTTGTTGTTGTTATGTGCCATCGGGTCGTTTGCGACTCATAGCGACCCTATGTACAACAGCCCTAAACCGTGCTCTATCCTGTGCCAATCGCACTGTCTCTGACACACCCATCCCGATTACCCCAGTCACTGAATCAATCTACCTCATAGAGGGCCTTCCCCTCCTGCGCCGTCCCTCTACTCTACCCAGCATGATGTCCCTCTCTAAAGACCTGTCTCTCCTTACAACATGTCCAAAGTATGTCAGACGAAGCCCCAGAATCCTTGCCTCCAAGGAGCAGCCTGGTTTAACCCTCTCTAGGAGTAATCTGTTTGTTTTCTTGGCAGTGAGTTACGAGCAAAAAAGCAGGTATGGCTGAAGAGGAAGGGGGTGGGATATTGAAAGGAGATCAGGTAGGTCGTCTATGTCCCCTTCCCTGTAGAGAGAGATGGTATAGTCCAAGGATGGCCTTGGGGAAGCTGTTCAGGTCAGTGGGTTTATAGGGAAAAGAGAAATGGTCAGGAGGGAGCCCTCTTTGTTGTTGTTGTTGTTATTAAGTGCCGTCGAGTCGTAGACGACTCATAGCGACCCTATGAACACAAGACCTGAACACTTGGATACCTTTGGTCGTTTCTCCACATTCATCGAGTTTCTGGAGGCAAGCTATTTTGGAAGTGGATGCCACTCCTGCTTCCAAGCTTGCTTGAATCGGGGAGCTCCACCAAACACTGTCCACCGTGGGGAACCATTATTTCATTTGAAATAATGTCAGTGTCACAGTGTTTAGCATCAAACCACCATGAGTTACCGCTGTACGGCAAATAAGAGCCCTCAAAGGACTTGGGTAAGCCGTAGCTCTGAGGGACCTTCAGGGTTCGTGTCCGGGGTGAGTTGGCAGCTAAGGTCAGGAAGGGCTGAGGAGAGTTGGAGATGCCGTCTCACTGCCCCACACCAGTGACCAGGTCAGGAAGAGCCAGAGACGTGGGTCCCCTCATCCTTTATCCGGTTATATCACGGGGACACAGGAGGAGCATGGGCCTTCTGACCAAACGTCTTCCCTCCTCCCCCAAGTTGGAGAAGGGGAACCTCCGAGTGAAGCAGCTGAAGCGGCAGCTGGAGGAGGCGGAGGAGGAGGCTTCCCGGGCGCAGGCGGGCAAGCGGAGGCTGCAGCGGGAACTGGAAGATGTCACCGAGTCGGCCGAGTCCATGAACCGAGAGGTGGCCACGCTGAGGAACCGGCTACGGTATGGCTCCCCCCCCCCCAGCCCTCTGTCCACACAGCCAGGGATGCTGGGGGGCTCTCGGTGGGCAAGGGGCCAGGGGCCCATGGGGTGGAAGGGCCCAGGGTGGTGGGGTAGAGCCAGAGCTGAGATGATGTACTTCTTTATCCAAATCCCATTTCTCTCTCTGCCTTCCTTTCTGCCCTCATCTCTCTGCACGCCCCTTGGTCTCTTTGCCCTCATATTTCTCTATCCTCCTCTCTTCACGTCACCTCTCTTTTCCTCCTTCTCTCTCTGCTCTTTTTATATCTTTTAAACATGTCCCCTGTCCTTACATCTCTTTATGCTCTCTTTCTCCTTCTGCCTGCTGTTCTCTCTCCACACCTTTGCATCTCTTCGCCCTTCCTTCTCTCTCTTCATCCATCCTTCTCTGTCTCCACCATCTATCCTTATCTCTCCGTCTCTCCAGTTCTCCATTTCTGTCTTTCCATCTCTGCTTTCTCTGCCCCGTCCTGCCCACCTCACGACCTCTTCTCCCTCCTCTCTGCATCCCTCTCATGCCAGCTGTCTGCATCCCATATCTCATCTCTTTTTTTCCCCTTTTCATAAATTTTAATTTCAATGAAAATTTACAGAGAGTTTGGATTTCCATTCATTCTTTTACAGTCCTTCCCCCCAGGTCCACTCCACCTTGCAGCCTTCACTCTAGACTCTTGTCATGACAATAATACCTAATCACACACCCCTTTGTTTAAAAGGGGTTTTCTCCCTCATCTGTTTCAATGCAGTATACATTATTGAGCCCATCTTTCTCAGTCTCCCCCCCAACCCCGAGGTCACTCCTGTTTTACAACAGTGACACTATGCAGTATTTGTCCGTTTGTGACTGAAATACTTCACTCAGCATCATGTCCTCCAAGGTCACCCATTTTGAATAATATTGCATGAGTTCCTTGTTTTTCAATGCAGCATAGTATTCCACTATGTGAATATACCACAGCTTCTCTATCCATTCGTTTGTTGATGGGCACTTAGGTTGTTTCCAACTCTTTGCTATTGTGAACAAAGCCGCAGTAAACATGGGTGTGCATATATCTGCTTGGGTGGCAGTTATGGTTTCTTTAGGGTATACTCCTAGTAGTGTGGAATTGCTGGGTCAAATGGTATTTCTATTTGCAACTTTTTGAGAAAGCGCCATACTGCTTTCCACAGTGGTTGCACCATTTTACACTCCCACCAACAGTGAATCAGGGTTCCAGTTTCTCCACAACCTCGCCAGCATTTGATGTTTGCTGTTCCGTTAAATTTTGCTATTCTTAGTGGAGTGAGATGATATCTCATAGTTGTTTTCCATACCTCATCTCTTGTCTCTCTGTTTCCCCTCCTGCCTACAGACGTGGACCCCTCACCTTCACCACACGCACAGTGCGTCAGGTCTTCCGCCTGGAGGAGGGCGTGGCTTCGGATGAAGAGGGCGAGGAGGCGGAGTCCGGGGCTGGGGCCCCGCCCCCGGAGGCCGATGGGCCAGTGCAAGCCCCGCCCCAGTGACCGCCTCTGCTCGCTGTACCCACCAGGGCCCCTCCCTCAAGGCTCGGGCACCTACCTGCCCCTGAACCCAGCCCTCCTGCTTCTTGCACTTGGGAGTCTGTGCCAGGTTGACACCACAGCACTTAACACCCCTGACCCGGGGTCCTCTGAGATCCCCACGAACCAACCCCCAAAATCAGAGAAGTGGGTCGAGGTGGGGAGGCAAGGACTGGGGCTCTGTCATTTGGGGAACCGGGTGTAGTTGGCAAGGGTGGGTGCTAGTCACGAGCTGTCCCCACTACCCCCCATCCAGCTCCACACACTCTCATACCCCCCCCACCCCCTCCTCCCAGCTAGCTCTGTGTCTGATCCGCTTCCCTGATAGCACAGTGGGTCTGTGCTCAGCTGCCAACCAAAAGGCCTTGGGTTCAAACCCTAGCAGCGCCATGGGAGAAGCTTTCCAGTCTCCTGTCCTAACATTTACAGCCTTATAAACCCAGTGGCCCCACTCACTCTCCCGAGGGTCACAGCGCATGGGAATCTCTCAAACGGCATAGTGGTGAAATGCTGCTGACCCAAAGATTGGCAGTTCTAACCTGCCCAGCGGTTCTCTGTCTATTCTTCCCTACGCCGCTCGCTGGAGAGAGTTTGCCCTCCCCTCCAACCCCCTTCATTCTGGTTCTCGGCCTCTCTCCATGTGGGTGTCCTGGTGGTGCAGTAGTTAAAGCACTTGGCTGCTAACCAAAAAATACCCTGGAATTTGGAAGCTCCATTGGAAGGAAGGTGTGACTGTCTGCAGACGTAAGGATTTACTGAAACCCCAGGGGGCAGTTCGCTCTGTCCTGTAAGGGGCTTTACATAGTGCATTACGTCTTGTGCTGCTAACCAAAAGGTCAGCTGTTCGAATCCACCAGCTGCTCCGTGGAAGAAAGTCAGTGTCTTCCCATAATGACTTACAGCCTTGGAAAAACCAATGGAGGGGTGGCTATGAGTTGGAGTCTTTTTCTGCCGTGGGGTGATTGATTTCCGCCTCTCAGCCTCCACCCCTCTTTTTGTTTTTTTTTTTTACCTCAATCTTTATTCTGTCTCTCTCACCTCCCCACCCTTCCTCAAGCTCTGCTTAACTGTTTCACCTATCTCTGCCTCCCATCTTTGAGTTTTGGGATGGCAAAGCTGATTCCCAGCCTCCCCAGTTCTCTGCTCCTTGCAGAGTAGGAGGAGAAGGGGCTCCCCCCCGGCCCTACCCTTTACACCCGCTGCCTGTCCGGTTCTGGTTCCGATGCTCCAGTGTGATTTCCCAAGTGCAGAGTCACTGGATTGGGTGTCCCTGGCCCTGCTGGCCTCCAGGCTCTGGCAGAAATAAAGGCCACTTTCAGCTCGTTCCTTGTCAGTGGCTGTGATTGCCGTCAGTCTGCGGTGGAAGGGAGGACGGGCATCTGGCTGCATGGGACCGAGGGGTGGAATCTTCTGGAAGCGCGCCAGTGTGTGGGGACCTTCTGTGTGCGCGTGCTGTGAATGCACTGACTGTGCTATTCTCATATAACACACCCACACAAATAACACACATCAGGAACTAATGCAAGGTGGTGTGTGATTTGGGGGGCGGGGGGCAGGGAAATAGCCCGGGTAATGTTTGCATAAAAATATAGCCTTTGACCCCAGCCTCCACAGATTGCCTCCGTGTTCCAGAAACAGGCTCAGAGCAGCCAGGCCCTTGGCTCTAAGCCTCTTCGGTGAGGCATGAACCACAGCAGTGCCACAGCTTCGAGACATTAACAGTAGAGCCCGTCTCTACATCACAATGCCCGTTACAACATAATTGTGTCCTCTGTGATGGAACCACCGTGCTGCACTCAGTGCATAATGTGGGTTCACTTGCAGATGAAATTGTATTGCTCTTAGAACAACTGGCCATTGGGTAAATTTGCTAAATGGATAAGCTAACCATCCCTTGCCATCTCACCATCCCTTGCCATCTCAGTGGAAATAGGCCCAGAGAGGTTGAGTGACCACACAGCTCCTAAGAAGTGCTAAGGTTTAAACTAGGGCTTGAAGTCAGCCTACAGGATTAATCAGGAGGGACACAGGTACAGAGAGGTGTAGAAATGTGCTCAAAATGAGGATTTCACAGGACAGGGTTCAGAGCCCTTGTTCTCAGCGCCAGTCACTGTAAGTTGTAGTCAGCTCCACTGCACCATCTAGTGAACAGATTCATCCTGGAGAGGGTTAAACCAGGCTGCTCCTTGAAGGCAAGGACTCTGAAGTTTCGTCTGACATACTTTGGACATGTTGCAAGGAGGGACCAGTCCTTGGAGAGGGACATCATGCTTGGGAGGGTGGAGGGACAGCACAGGAGAGGAAGACCCTGGATGAGATGGACTGATTCAGTGACTGGGGTAATTGGGGAGGGTGTGTTGGAGACAGTGAGATTGGCACAGAATAGAGCAGAGTTTAGGGCTGTTGTACATGGGGTCAGTATGAGTCACAGGCAACTCAACGGCACATAATAACAACAGTGTCAAGGATCTCTGGTGGCCTAGCAGTTAAAGTGAAGGTCAGAGGTTTAAACCCATTACCCACTGGAGAAAGATGTGGCTGTCAGCTTGGAAATCACAGCTTTGGAAACGCTATTCATTCCCACAGGGCCTGTGGGTGTCAGAATGACTTGATGGTAAATTAACCTGGTGGCTCTATGCTTAGGTGCTCTGTTGCTGACCAGCGGTTTGGAGGTTCAAACCCACAGCAGCTCTCTCTGCTGGATACAGACGTGGAGATCTGTAAAAGGAAGCCTGGGCCACCCTGTAACAGCAGTGGTCACACAAAGTCGCTGAGTGGACAAGCCACATGAAGACAAGAAAGGGAGAGGGGAGTGAGGGTTAAATCTCCAGCTTTCTGGGGTACCCCGCAATCTACACTGGGGAATCAGGGCCACTCCTCCCTTAGATACTCATCCTCAAGCCTCCTTAAAAAGGGGCAATGGTCAAGGTGGTGTCAGAACTAGCAAAGCTCATCACTTAATGAAACGTGTGAGCGCGTACACACACATACACGGCCAGCCCCTTCCCTGCAGACACACACACACACACACATACACACACACGGGCGCGCGCAACCCCTGTCACCAAGTCCCTTCTCTGCAAACAGACAGGCATTTTTAAATGAAAAGGAAACTTTTATTTTGGTGGGGGAGTGAGAGGGCGGGTGGGTGAGGGGCATGACACTTTTTTCTTTTGGGAGGGGGGTGACATGCGGTAGCTTCTGCAATTGGGCGGTTCATGCACCCAGGGTGGGCGTGGGGAAGGCTTGGGGGAGGGCTCAGCACGACCCCTCCCTCCCTGCCCTGGGGGTGGGCTGAGAAGACCCGCCGTTAGCACCAGAGTTGGACGATTTGCAGACCTCCCCTCCCCGCGCTGACTCCGGACCCCGCCCCCATCCCTGAGAGCGCCCCCCCAGCCACTCCCCCCACAACGACAGGCCAGGCCCGCCCCGCCCACATTTGAGTGAGAGAAACTTATTGCTGTGTTTGTGTTGGGAAGGGGGGAGCCGCTGAGCTCAGGAGAGCCCCCCCCACCGATTCCTTCCTCCCCGATCGCCCCGCCCCCTGCCCCGTGTCCGTGCGTTCCCGGAGCGCAGGAGGGGCGCGACATGCGTGTGGGGGCGCGTCATGCAGCGCATGCGTGTGGTTGCGGGCACCCTGGCGGCCAGGGAGAAAAGGGGAGCGGGACCTAGAGCTTGTCCCTTTAGCTCGCGCTCGCTCTCTCTCCCTCCCCAAATCCCGTGGTTGATTTGTGGTATGGGAGGGAGGTGAGAATCACCTTTTGAAGAGGTTTATAATGACGGTGGTTATTTTTTAAAAAGCGAAACTAAAAAGCTAGGTATTATGTGGCGGATTGGCGAGCAGGGAGGACTTTTGGGAAGAGGTCAGTACCCTTTGGAAAAAAAAAAGACCCTCAACCCCCCCCTTTCCCCACCCTATTCGACTTTCGTGAGGGTCGGGGAGGGGGCCTTTTGAAGAAGTTGAACCCTTTGGCAATAGAACAATACCCACCACCCCAAACCCAGGTGCCCCTAGCCCTTTGCCCCACCCCCACCAGAACCCACCCTACCCCTCACCCTTTATCCACCAGGGCTCAGGGTCCGAGGGAAGAATATGGGGGGGGGGCTCAAAATGCCCCTTGCATAGGGATCATTGCATCAAGAATCGTGCCCAGCGACAACCCCAACCCTCCGGAAAAGGGGGAGGGGTCCTGAGGCTAGGGGAGCAGAGAGGGAGGCGGCTAAGTCTGTGAACCCCCAGCTCCAAAGAGGGGGCCCCACTGGGACCCACGTGGTCTCTGAGCTTGGGGGAGGTAGCGCATCCTTGAACCAGGATGGAAGATGAAAAATGATTTTCCACCCACGAGGATGGCGGGGTTTGGGGGTCAAGGAGGACTTTGGGGAGGGGGAAGGGTGTCAGCTTGGTAGGGTCAGTCAGCCTTTCCCAAGCTTCTGATATGCACATGTCCTTCCATTCCGAAGACTGGCTGGCAGACTGATTTGAACTCAAAACACCTTTTTTTAAAAAAAACACACCAAAAAAACAAATACTGGCCTAGCCCAGCAAAACAGCCTGGACTTCCGGAGTCCTGTTAACTTTTGACATAATTAACATTCGCCTAGGACTTCAGCAGGACAGGAGGACCTGCTGACAAACACTGATGTTCGTGAACAGGGCACCCCTTGAAGAGAGGTGCTCTGGAGAGGGGTACATGAGAAAAAGGGTGTCCTGGAGATTCTGGTTGCCCAGAATTGCAGACAGGTGGTACCTATCTTGGAAATTCTAGCATCCGGGAAACCTGAGGTGGCTGAGTCTGATGTTAGGAGTTTGGGGGTGTCCGTGAGGAGGATCCTGGGGGGATATCCAGGAAATGTCAGATTTGGGGCATCCCAAAAGCTGAAAATTGAGCTGAGTCAAGAGAGGTGCCAGGGAGAGGGGTGTGTATCTGCGTGTAGACGTTCACCCCAGCAATGAGTTGGGGGACTTGAGTTGGGAGTGCGGAGTACTCAGGAGTTCTGAGGTGCAGGTCTCATGTCCTAGGAATTTGGGGGGGAGGGCTACTGGAGGATCTTGTGTGCCAGGGCCAAATCCTCCCCAATGCAATCTGGGGGCGGGGGAGGGGGCAAGGTCTGAGTTCATGCAGCGAAGACAGGCGAGCAGATCCCTGGGCGGGGGATGAGGGAGGCGACAGTCACCTGAGGGACCCCCCACAGGCCAAGGGCGTGGCGGTGCTCAGCTGCCCAGCCCAGCGCCTCCCAGCCTCAAATCTCTGCTCTGTTCCTGTGTTTGACTTGGGGGGGGGAACTTGCCCTTCTCCCGCCACTTCAAGGTTGGTTTGTTGCTTAATCAGAAGCTGCTGGGCTGTTGTCCTCTTGGGATGAAGGGTGGGGGGGTGTCCCGGCCCCGCTCCCAGAGTGCCCCTTCCCTCAAATGCGTGCCATGCAGCCCCTGGCGGCTTATTGCTGTCCTGGAGGAGTCCGGACGGGGGGAGACATGCAAAGTGTGGGGGGAGAGGTGCCCCAAGATGTAAATTGGCATCATTTGGACGTATTTACACAAGTTGATGGGTGGGAGGGGGGGTGTTCTATGGCTCATGGAGACCTGAGAAGGCTTTATTTTGGGGGTGAGGGAAAGAGTTGGGGGGACGGGCTCTGGCCCCTCCCCGTCCATCCTGGGGGCCCAGGTGGGAGGCGAGGGGCCCGGGGGTGTCTGCTGGCGTCGTCGTCTCGGTTGCATATTATTAATGACTTTTTGATTTTTTTTTTTTACAAAAAAAACCCCTTTTCCCCACCCCCCCACCCCCAGCTCCTTTGACCTTCTTCCCGGTCACCCCCGAGTCCCCCCACAGGGGGGAGGGGAGCGCTAAAGGATGGAGGGCAGGGTTGGGGGAGCGCGGCGGGCGGCCCGGGGAGAGCCAGGGGGCGTGGCAAGGGGCGCAAGGCGCAGGGACACCCCGCTCAGGCCCGCGATGCTGCTCAGGCTGCGGGACTTCTCGTAACCTGGGGGGTGGGGGGCGGGGGAGGTCACGGGAGGGAGGCAGAAAACAGGGAGGACGCGTGGAGGATTGGGGGTGCACCGACAGACAGTGGAAGACCCCAGGACAGAGGGAGAGAGGGACAGAAAGAAAATTAAAAAAAAAAAAGGCCAGAGAGAAAAAGGGGAGGAGGGGAGAACTCTCAAGGCAGAGGGTGGTGAGAGATCAGACAGACAGACAGGAAATGCCAAAGAGGAGAGAGCGGACAGGAGAGTCCAGAGAGAGAGAGAGAGAAAGGCCGAGACACAGAGACAGACAGGAGGACCAAGGAGATGGAGAGAGAGAGTAGACAAATTGGAGAATCAGTCAGCATCCACGAGAAAGGTACAGACATCAGGGAGGGGGAGAGACACTGGGTTAGGAGGCAGGGCGGAGCCCACCGAGCCTCCCCCCCACCCTCCATCGAAGCCCACCCCCCTCATCGGTCCCCTCAACTGAGCCAGGAAGGTGAGGGGCAGCGAGGCAGAATGGTGGGTGCATGGGCAGGAAGCTCTGGGTGCTGGGGGGGGGGGTTCGGGTGGGATGCATGTGGGGGTAGCAGGCGGTGGGGAGTGCGTGGGGGAACTGGGGTGCGGTCTGGAGGCTAGCCTGGCGGAAGGGAAGGTGGGGATGGGGGCTCACATGGAGCAGAAGTTGGCAGTGACTTTGGCGCACACTATGAACATTCAGAGAGGGGTGGGTGGAGGGAAATCTTTTCCAGAAGGTTCTGAGGGGATCTAATAAGGCTCCGAGAAGCCTTTGGGGTTCTAACTGGTGGCCTGAAGGTCCAGTGTCCTGATGCAAGGTGTGGGTCCTTGAAAGTTCAAATGTGCTAGAAGGGATCTTAGGGTGTATGGCATTCTCCCGTTTTCCCGGGCAGTGAAAGCTGGGGGTGTCTTGGCCCCCATCCACAGAAGGGCCTGGAGGGCGGAAGGATCTGAGGCCCCGTATCTTGAGGACACCCCCTCCCAGCCATTCCCAATTGCTAACCTGGGGGCAAGGGGCAGGGGGGGACCGAGGGTCTCGCGAGGTCTCAGGCGGTGACAAGAGCTGGGGACAGAAATACAGAGAGTCACGGCGGGAGAGAAAGGGGTTAGGGGGGACCCCCAAAAAACAGCTTCACTATTGAGGGAGAGCCAGAGAAATGTCAGGACCTTGTTCTCCTCGCTGGTGATTTCCAAGGGGCGGGGAGCAGTGAAATGGGGAGCGGCCAGAGACATCAAATATGGAAGAAGCTTCCGGGGTGGCTGAGGGTGGGGTGAGGAGGGAGAAAGGGATGGGGAGAGGGTAGGGGTGGATGTCAAGAGGGGGGGCGCTTAGAGGGTAGGGAAGGAGGGAAGTGGAAAGCGATTGGGAAAAGAGGATCAGGGGAGAGGAGAGGGAAGGGAAGGGAAGGGAAGGGAAGGGAAGGGAAGGGAAGGGGGAGAGAGGGGTCTTGGGAAGGGAGGTGGAAGTGGGGGGGCATGGAAAAGATTGGGGCAGAAGACAGCCAGCCCCATCAGCTCCTGCCATTATTTGAGTTCAATGAATGGATTTTGGCATCAAAGGCAAGAAAAGCAGGAATCTCCCCCGCCCACCACCCACCCTGCATCCCCACCCTGCATCCTCCCTCATCCAGATTCACATGACCTGCCCACCCTTCCCCCCACCCCCACCTCCACCCGCACACCACAGGACCCTTCCAGACTTGAGGTTGAGGAATAAAGGAGGCAAAAGGGACTGGGGTCCAAGCAGGGGGAGGGAGAGAGGGGGGAGGGGGCCAATGGAGATGAAGATGGAAGAAGATGGAGGGAGGTGAGGTGCTACAGGGCAGTGATGGAGAAGGGGAGCGGGGGGGGGGGGCCTCTTCTAGAAGTCTAGGCTCCTGTTCCCCTTCTGCTGGTAGTCTGGGGCGGCTTGGTCCCGACCCTCCCTGAATTTCTAGGAGACAAAGGATATGGCCCTAGAGGCTCCTGAGATGCCCCTAAAACCTGTCCTGAGGCTGAGGACCTTTAGAGGTGGCTCTCCTTCAGGAAGACACCCCAAATGTCTGATGAGTGATTGCCCCTCTCACTGAAGATCCCAAGTCCCCCCCATAGCCTCTCCCTTGGCTCACTCAAGTCCACCTCCCCACTCTTTCTTGAACCTCAGAGCTGTTCCTTTTGCCTGGATGGCCACTCAAAAGAGGACATCGTTGACCCCTTTACCTAAAAGGGCTGGGATAATTATCTTTTTCGTTTCCCTTCCTTGTTGATTTTCTACTTCTTCCAGTCAAAGGTTGGCAAACTTTTCCAGCAGAGACCCAGATAGTCCCGGTTTACCATATGGTCGCTGTGGTAGCCACTTCTCCCTGCCTGTGCTTTGCAACTGTGCCTGTGCTCCAATAAAGTTTTATTTACAACGTGGGCTGTAGATGGCTGACTTCTACTTTAGTTGGTAAGCTCTATGATGGAAGGAGATTTTGCTTTGTTTGCTGGTAAAACTTCAGTCAGACTATACCCTCAAAATTAGTTGTAGGATAAAGATGGATGGATGGATGGATGGATGGATGGATAGCTAGGTGGATTGGTTAATGGCTAGTAGATGGATTAATGGGTGATAATGGGTAGACAGGTAGATGGATGGATGGAAAAATGCATGTTAAAAATAAAGATGATGGAGACTGGGTTAGGTGGAAGGAGATGGAACTCATCTAGAATTGTTTGATGCTTACAGATACACATTAAATGTCTAATACCTGTAAGTGCTTGGTTATGTTCACTACTGATTCATCTCCTAAAGTTCTCCTGACTTTCTCTCCTCGCTCCCCACCCATCAGCCATCCAAGCCCACCCACCCCTTTCATCTCAACTGTCTTTACTCAGCCCTCCTCCCATGGAACTTTACCTCAGCAGCCCCCCAACCTGACTCCCAGGCTCTCAGTCCAGTCCAGCCCCTAGTGGCAGTGTCGCTGAGAAAGCCTCACTGCCTCTCCCTGGCTCACCTGACGCCCCCACCCCAGGGCACCTGGACAAGACATTAGCGGAGGCCTGACCCTTCTCTCCGGCCTGACCTCAGCTTTCCTGCCTGACCCCCACTCCCCTGCCTCCTCTCCCGCCACAAGTCTCTCCACTTGTGGTCCCGCCTCCCAGCCTTCTGGCTGCCTCTCCTTCTGAGAGTTATTGCTTCGAGCTCAAAGCGCCGCTGAGAGCGTGCCATTTACGGGAAATGCCACCTGCTGCACTTGGAGACGTGTCGTGGGTCCAGATGCCATCTCCAAACCTCCCTGTGCTTTTCCAAACCACCGAAGCAGCCACAGTGCGGCTAGATCACTCAAGTGCGTACCAACCCCTCTCGCAGAAGGTTGCATCAACACATCCACACATGACTTTACAACCTGAGAGGTCTCGTCTCCTCTTCCGGAGGAGCGAGCTCGGTGGCCTCATCCACAGGGAGTTGACCCAAGGCCACACTTCCCTGGTGAGTCTACCAGCAGTTCTTGTAGTGGATGGGCAGATGGGGGAGGGGATCCCTGAAACTCAGTGAAGGGGGGGAGTCAGCTTTGACTGAGACCTTAGAAAGGAAGCCATGGGCTTCTTTAGAACAATAAAAGCTTTGCCCCTTAGGGCTGTGTCCATTAACAGAGCCCACACCACCTCCCCTGTGTCATTGACATCTGCTGCTGCATCAAAGATACCCTCCCCTGCCTATCTTGTATTACTAAAAGCTCCTTCCCCATCTTTTATTTAAACTTCAGATTGCCATTGCAGCTAGACTCTCCTCTCATGTCTTGATAAAAGACTTTTCTGGTGAGTGGAAGATTTGTGTAAATGATTAGTACAAGTGAATAATAGTTTTAGAAAGTTCACAAAAAAGTAAAGCCTTAACTGATGTTTTAAAAACATCTGACACCCCTCCACCGTAAAAAAAAAAAAAACCATCTGACACACAGAGTGACAGAGAGAGCTGGGGAGTGCTAAGGAGTTGCACTGCCTTCCCAAAGGTACTCAGTTCTAATCCACCCCCTAGAGAAAAAGGTGGGTCATCTTCTCCCATGTGATTTACGGCCTCGGAGAACCCGCTGGAGGCTCAGTTCTTGAATTGGTTCTGATTCGACAGCACGTAACCACAAAAGAGTCATTGCCATTGAGTTGGAACCGGCGCAGAGCTGACCCTCCAGTGGGGTTTTTTAGAGACAGTAAAATCACGAGAGGAGGCTGTCTGTTTTTCTCCCTGAGAGCAGCTGGCAGACTCGAACCATGGGCCTTTAGGTGCACAGCGCAACTCCTTACTCACGAAGCCACGGGAGCTCCCTATTAGCAGTATATCCTAAGTACTGCAGTAATAACCAACTTGTCAAGGTAATAACTGCTCGTTTGCTGCCGTGATTATAAAGTGACTGTCTGTGGCAGCCCAGCATCCAGCAAGGAGGCTGGTGCCATTCTTCCTACAGCCTCTGCCCACTTTGTTTCTCTGTCCTATTCTGGTTCTTCACACACACACACACACACACACACACACACACACACACTTTTCCACCACTTAGCTTCGCAGTCCACAGTTTATCCACTATCCACAGTAACTTTCACAGCCCCTGACAGTCTGAGCCACTCTACTGTGGTGGTCGGGAATCTGGAATCGAACTCACAATCTCAGGGCTGCCTGTCCCGTTTGATGATGGGACTCCTTCCTCTTAGGCATTCTTTGGTCCTTTCCTGATACCCCCTAAAGCCCCGACCCTGGAAGATTTGCTGGCTTTGCACAACTCTCTGAACTGCTTTGAGTTCAGCGTCCATCACCTCGGAGAGAGACTGTCCCTCAGTGGTACAAATGGCTAATGGGTGCTCGGCAGTTAACCAAAAGGCCGGCAGTTCGGGTTCACCCAGAGGTGCTTTAGCTAAAGACCTGTCCATCACCTTGGACAAAAAACCCTCTCAGCCCCTGAAAGACTTCTGAGCTCAATTCTACGCTCCACGTGGTTCACCTGCATCTCCATCACCTCCAGGCAGCTGGCTTGGAAACAGTCGGGGTCTGACGGCACAATGGTTAAACACTTGGTGGTCCTAACCTACCAGCCACTCCTCCAGAGAACGATACGCCCATCTGCTTCCACAAAGATAGCTCGTGTCCGGTGCAGCCGGAACCAACTCACAGCCGACCCACCAGTGGGTTTTCAGAGGCAGGAAACCAACCAACCAACTGCCTGGGAGGAGATTGCCTGTCTTCCTCCCACAGAGCACCTGGATTTGAACTGCATCACTCTGGGCTGGCAGTATAGCTCCTTAGCACCAGCCACAGGAGCGCCCTTCCGCTGAGATTACGGTCTCAGAATCCCAATGGGGCAGCTCTGCGCTGCCCCGTAGGATCAACATGGGTCGTAACCAACTGCAGAGCACCCAGAAGTTTCAGTCTGCGTGCACCTACCTCCCCACAGACGTCGGGGGGGCTTTTGGAGAGCAGGCTGCTTTTGTTCCTGGTCCCGACCACTGCACCTGGGACCCTGAGGTACTGTCTAAATGCAGGCTGCACTAGCAGAGGGCTGTCCTCCCACCCCTGTTCTACACCCACAAGAGTATCCTGAGAGTGTACCCCAAAGGCATGGGCGAGGAGAGACATGGGAATGGGGTGAATGTGGGCTCAGTCGTGGGGTGTGGGGGAGGTAAGGGGCAGGCACAAGGTGTGGGAGCATTGGGGTTAGTTCATGAGGGTTAGTGAGGGGCATCGCAAGTCCTGGGGCGGGTGGAGGGGGCGGGTCAGTGTCAGAGGCGGGGTCACAGTGAGTAGGAGGGGGTCTCGGTCAGTGGGGTCTGCCTGTTCTCAGAGGGGTTAGTCAGCAGGTAGGGAGGAGTCCGAGGGAAGGTATCAGGGGGCTACTTACCCCGGGGGGAAGGGGGTTCGTCCACTAGGGGGATATCCAGGCCGCGGCGTTGGCGTTGAGGTCGGGCAAGAAGCTGGGGGGCCCTGGCTTACGCCAGTCTGGGGGGGCCAGTGGGGGAGCACCAGTGGCTGGGGGTAGGGGAAGAGGGCAGAGGGTCCAGGGCGGGGGGGAGGGAGATGGAGATGGAATAAAGACAGGTGAAGGGTCAGTGGTGAGGACACTTGGAGGGGGGGGCGGTTCTGGGAGGCAGGTGGTTTGGGGCCAGGGGATGGGGGAAGTCCGGGACCTCTGCCCCCATCACCCTCTTCTCCCTCCCCTGGGTGGGGGGGAGAGAGAGGGTCTCAGGGGGCCAGCGGAGAGCACCTCACCTTTTCGGATGGAGCCATCAGGGGACGGGGCATAGTCGGTGAGGAGGAAACAGGCTCGGTCACGGCTGTAGCGGCCCCGACTTCCCGGCGTGATGGGGCTCTTGTCTTCCGGGGACATGGCGGGCTGGTCGATGGCCGGACAGTCCTCATGGGCAAGGGCGGCGGCTGCTGGGTCCCCGTTGGGGCGGGGATCTGCGTCCGGAAGAAGAGGTTGGACAGACAGAGCAGGTTAAGAATGTGACTCTCGATGGGTGGTCAGCAGGAAGCAGCGTTAGAAAAGGGGGTCAATTCACACCCATGTTTATCGCGGCTTTGTTCACAATAACAAGGAGTTGGAAACCACCCAAGGGCCCATCAACAAACGAATGGACAGAGAAGCTCTGGTATACTCACACAATGGAATACTACACTGCATTGAAAAACAAGGAACTCATGCAATATTATTCAAAGTGGGTGACCCTGGAGGACATTATGCCGAGTGAACTATCTCAGTCACAAAGGGACAAATACTGCATGGTGCCACTTGTAAAATGGGACTGACATCAGGATTGGGGCGAAACTGGGAAAGATGGGATAAATAATGTATACTGCATTGAAACAGATGAGGGAGAGAACTGTTTAAAAGGGATATGTGATTAGGTATTTTTGTCATGACAGGAGTCCAGAGCGAAGGCTGTATAGTGGAGTGGACCTGGGGGGAGGGATTGTAAACCAATGAAAGGATTTTTCTTTTTCTTTTCAAAAAAAAGAGTGCATTGGGGGGGGGAAGGGGTGGGCAGGGAGAAAAGTGCAACAATGAATGAATAGAAATCCAAGGTCTCTCTAGATTGTCATGAAAATTAATTTTTAAAAAGGGGGGGCCTTGGGTGTTGAAAATAGGTGAGAGAAAGCAGGGTGCCCATTGGGAAAGGGGCAGTGGGTGGGGCACAACTGGGAGTGGGGAATGGAGAGGGTGCACTGGTGGACTGGCACAGGAGGTCCTTGGGGACCAGTGCAAAGCGGTGAGAATTGGAGTGAGGCACTGGAGTATCTCAGGGTTGAAGAAGGGATATAGTGGATGACGAAGAGCTCAGATAGGGCACCAACGGGTGATGGGTTAGGGCAGTGGGTTACTAGGTAAACCTGAGGGCATTACGTGTTAGAAGCAATTGGAACATGGGTAAGTTGGAAGATGGAGCAAGTTATTATTGAAAGAGCGGATAGAGTTGGGTTGAGGGAAGGGTGTTGAATGTTGGGAAGGAAATTGGAGTAAGGAAGAGTATTGGATAGCACTCAACTGAGGGGGTGTATGGAGCACTGAGAAGAGCCATGAGAATAGGAGTGAAAGATGAGGTGACTGGAGTATTATTGGATGGAGCTGCTTGAGTATCTGGAGGGACCCTGGGATAAAGTGCTGGAGTACTGGATAGAGCTGGGTCAAGGGGTGTCAACAGGTACTATGCACGGCAGGACTGGGGTAAGGAGCTGGGGGGAAGTGCGTACCAGGCAGGAGTTAGGGGCAAGGTGCTGGGGCGGGGGTGGCTGGCTCCAGTGAGCAGAATGTGAGGTTCTGGGAAGGGCAGACCTAGGGTAGGGTGTTGGGCGCTGTAGAGGGCACAGCGGGGAAGGGTTGGAAAGGTGACAGATGAGGGAGGGGGGAGTGGGGGTCCCCCAGGCTCTGACTTGAGCTATTTTTAATTGGTGTGAAACTGGGTCAGCGGCTGAGGGAGCAAGATGGGGGCCTAGCGGCCCAGCTCCCTTCCTTGACCTACTTAAGGCTGGGGGGGGGCCCCCACCAGCCTCTCCCTCCTCCCAGCCACCCAAATTCTGGCCTCTCAGAGGTCCAGACTCCCTTGGGGGGGAGGGGCACACACACATTCAACAGTCCAGTCTCCTCTCCTTTCCTCTCACCCACTGACATCTCTGGGCCACTCTCCAGACCCCTCTCACACAGCCTGGTCTCCCAGAGGCCCTTGCGCCAACATGGCGCTTCACCTAAGCCTGCTTCTCTGATCTCTGCCTCTTGATTTAAAGCCCATCTCCTTTCCATTGGACCAGAATTCCACCTCAGTCTCTGTCCTCTCGCTCCCCTTGCTCTCGTCCTGTTTCTCTCTGTCCTGTAAGGAGGCAATCTCTTGGTTTCTGGCCTCCCTGTCTCAGCTTCCTTTCCCAGCATCCCCTCTGGGACACGCACCCTCTGACTGTGTCCCACCGTCCATCTCGGCTCTACCTCTGACCCATGTGCTCACTCAAGCTCAGGGGGGAAGCCCTTTCCCTTGCTCCTTCTCCCCAGCCTTCTCACTGTGTTGTCGCTTATTCAGCCTCTCTCTGCCTCTGTCTCTAGGTACTCTGGTTGCAAACCTGTCCCCCACCTCAAACTACCTCTCTAGAGGTGTGGACAGAGCTGGTGGAGAGCAGAGTGTTTGTTTATTGAGTGTTGGGAGAAACAGGAGTAGAGAGGATGGTACGATCCGGGATTAGGGTAGTAAGTAGTGGGTAGAAACGGTTGAGGACAGGGTGTTGAGTGCGGAGAGGAACACTTGGAGTGGGGATGGGTGATAAGGCAGGGGAACTGGAGTATTACTGGATAGAGCTGACTGAGGGGAGATGCTGAGGGAACTGGAGAAGGGAAGGATGATGGGGCAAGGTACTGGAGTATGATTAGATAGAGCTGGTTGAGGGGAAAGTGTTCAGTGTTGAAGGACCCGGAAAAGGGGCTGGGTCCTGGAAAATTACTGGACAGAGCTGGTTGAAGGGAGGTGTTGAATGACTGGAGTAAGGCAAGGCAGTGGGGCCAGGGCACTGGCGCTGTGCAAACTGCTGGTTGAAGGGAGGTGTTATGTGTTGAGAAGAAGCAGGTTGATAGGCTAGCGTGTGCAGTATTATTGCACAGTGCTGGCTGAGAGAGGCTGAGTGTTGGGAGGAACAGCTGGAGTAAGGAAAGGATGACGGAGTGGGGGATTGGTGTTATGGATTGAGACGATTACGAGGCGGGTGTTGGGTGAATAACTGGACCCGGGCAGGATGATAGCACAGGGTATTGGAATGGTGGCTACAGCTGGTTGGGAGGAGGTGTTGAGTGTTGGGGGAACATCCAGGGCAGAGAAGGGTGGTGAGGTAGGCATTTGGAGGACCAGTGGGAGGTGGCTGAAGGGAGGAGTTGAGTGTTGGGGTTGGATGGTAAAGTCCTGGATACACCCGGGATGTGCCCTGCTGGCCCGGCCATTGGGTCCTCTATGCCCTCAGCTCTTGCTCGCCCCTGGTCTCTGTTGCTGCCCACCTGGTCCCTCTGCACCTCAGCAACTCTCCTGCACCCCGCTCCCCCGCAGAGCTCTCCACCTCTGTCAACTGGTCTCCATTCCAGGTACCTCCCCACTCCTGCCCCTCGCGCCCCCACCGCCCCTGCCGGCTCACCTGCCCGGTTGATCTCAATCACCTCCTCTTGGGCCAACGGGCATGGCTCCCCAGGGGCTGGCAAAGGAGGCAGCCCCATGATCCCGAGCCCGCCCGCTCCCCCCCTGAGCAGCCCCGGGTGCGTGTGAGGCCCCGGCGGGTAGGCCCCAGCCACAGTCACCCCCATGGAGGGCGGGGTGATGGGCGGTGGGGGGCTGATGCCCCCGCTGCCGTGGTGAGGGTGGGGCGGGGGCGGCGGGGGCGGGTCGGGCTTGCAGTAGTTTGGGGAGCCGGGCTGCGGGGGCCGGGGAATGTGTTTGTTCTTCTTCTTGGGCAGCTTCTGTTTGGCCATGGCCAGCGAATAGTACATGCCAAAGTTGTTGACAATGACGGGCACCGGCATGGCGATGGTGAGCACCCCGGCCAGGGCGCACAGCGCCCCGACCAGCATCCCCGACCACGTCTTGGGGTACATGTCTCCGTAGCCCAGCGTCGTCATGGTGACCACGGCCCACCAGAAGCCGATGGGGATGTTCTTGAAGTAGGTGTGGTTGGAGCCCAGGATGTCGTCCGGGTCGGCGCCGATGCGCTCGGCGTAGTAGATCATCGTGGCGAAGATAAGCACGCCCAGCGCGAGGAAGATAATGAGAAGCAGGAACTCATTGGTGCTGGCGCGCAGCGTGTGGCCCAGCACACGCAGCCCCACGAAGTGGCGAGTCAGCTTGAAGATGCGAAGAATGCGGACGAAGCGCACCACGCGCAGGAAGCCCAGCACGTCCTTGGCGGCCTTGGAGCTCAAGCCGGACAGGCCCACCTCCAGGTAGAAGGGCAGGATGGCCACGCAGTCGATGATGTTGAGGCTGCTCTTAAGGAACTCCACCTTGTCCGGGCAGAAGGTGATCCGCATGAGAAACTCAAAGGTGAACCAGATGACGCACACGCCCTCCACGTAGGTCAGGAAGGGTTCCGTCTCCACCTCCACGTTGGTGATGTTCTCTGGGGGCGCCCCGGGGATCGGGGAGGCCTGCGTCACCGTCTTGTTGCTGATGTGAATGAAGCCTTCGTGGGTCTCCAGACAGAAGGTCGTGATGGAGATGAGGATGAAGAAGAGAGAGGCAAACGCCACATACTGTATGGCGGGGCGGGAGTGGGGGAGAGAGAAAGAGAGGGCGAGAGGTGACCGACCTGGGCGTCTGATCTACCAGCCACCCGGCACCCCTTCTCCCGGCCTCCTAACCCCAAATTCAGGGGGGTATCCAGGTATTGCCAACCTCCCTCGCTCCCTCACTTCCCACACCCTCTCCCACCCCCAGCGCACAAAGCTGGCACAAGGAAAGGCCAGCAACACAGGCAGCTCTCCCGCCCATCTTGGGAGAAGAGCTGGCCCCAGCAGAGGCAGCAGATGGGCAAATAAATTCTTCCCTGGAAATAGCAATTCCTGGCCCCTTGCGTGGACTCCCTCCTGTTCTCGGCGTGTATTCTACTGAAGGGCTCTAAAGCAGAGTCCAAGCGTCCTGCTACGGGATATGGGGGGGGGAGTAGGGGGGGGGCAGCAAGGCAGGATTAGGAAGGAGCTCAGAGTCAGATAAAATACAGCCTTTCTTCTGTCTGACTTGAGTGACGGCTGCTAACAGAAGGGTCAGCAGTTCCAACCCACCGACCAGCCTCTCCGCAGGGAGAAAATGTGGCAGTCGCCCTCCGCGGAGATTCTGGCTGTTAATGTGCTATCAAGTCAGCTTATAACTGACCCTCCAAATCACACGGGAGGAGCGCGCTCATCCTTCTCCAGCGGAACAGCCGCTGGATTCGCATTGCATGGCTTTGGATTGGCAGCGCGACTTCTTACCCACCCGGCCACCAGGGCTCCCAAGGAAATCCACTAGTGAGAGTTCTCTATCCCATGGGGTCGCTGTGAGTTGGCACTCACTCCCGGGCACACAACAACTTTAAGCACCGAGCTGATAACTGAAAAGAGGGTTTCGTTTGAATCCAGCAGCCTGCGGTCATGAAGACTTCCAGCCTTGGGGAAACATAGGGGACATTGATCTGCCCTGCTCTGCAGGGTCGCTGGGAGTCAGAATGGACTTGATGGTGGTGGGATCAGTGGATTACGCTTCTGAGTCTCAAGTTCTTTCATAATGGGAAAAGAAGAACCTACAAAAGGTTCAGTGTTAGGAACACAGGGAGAGGGTTTGAGGTGTGATGAGGGCATAAGGGCATGAGTTGGTGGGGGAGGCGGGGGTGGGGGGTAAAGAGGTCAAGTGGAAGGCTCAGAGGGGAAGGGGCCAGGGCTTAATATCCTTGGGAGGAAATTGTGCCAAGTTCCAGGATCAAGAAAAGGGAGGAGAAAGGGCTTCTCTCAGAAAAAGGGCAAAGTGGAGCCACACAAGGAAAGAAAGGTATCACAGATCGCTGAAGAGAAGGTGGATGGTTGTTACCACTGAAAAGCCAGAGAAGCCCCAGAGCAGGGGGAGGGGCCCTGGCTTAGGATTCTGGAGAGGAAGGGACAGAGTCAGGGGCCTGGACCTTGGGAGTCAGATCAGGGTCAAGGACAAAGAAAAGGGAAGGGGCTTTTGGCAAAAGGCATAGAGAATGGGGGCAGGAGAGGGGATGCTTAGGGTATTTTTAGGAATGGAGAGTGGATCCTCAAGTTTGACCAAACAAGGTCTTGGAGAAGGAAGAGGGGACCTTAAAGTCAAAGCATACTTTTATCAACTACTCAGAGGGGAGGGCGGGAAGGGTGGGCAACAGGGGCAGAGAGGGGGCTTAGAGAGGGATAGACACAAAGTCTGGTGAGGGGGCTTGAACTGTAATCAGCAGTGCAGAGCAAAGAGAGGCACTAGGGTCTGGTACTAAGATGGGTCTTAGATGTAGAGTGGGCTGGGATCAGCACTGTCCCTTTGCACCCCCTTCTCCATAGGGGCGAGGGGGCTGGGAATTGGAAAGGCCTTGACTTTAACCAGAGATACTGAACAGAGGGTAAGGGGGAGGCCAGTGTCGGGCCATAGAAAAGCTGCTGAATCTCGGGGTGCGCTGGGGTCAACTCTGCCCGTCTTATGTTCCCCCGTAAGAGTGAGGGGGTAGGGTTTAACAGGAGATGCAGAGCAGAAAGGGGTCAGTGTCAGGTCGCCTCGCAAGCATCCTGGACCTTAGTGTGGGTTGAGGGTCCACGCTGGCCCTCTTTACCCTCTGTTCCCCACCCCCCCCCCCCCCCAGTTTCTCCGCAGTGGTTTAAGAGGCCAGAGGCCGCCGCAGAGCGCATGCCCGGCGCTCCCCCGCCCCCTCCGAGCCGGACGCTCGGCGCAGGC